TAATCCAGGTAAGCTGGGGTAATCCAGGTAAGCTGGGGTGATGGAGGTAAGCTGGGGTAATGGAGGTAAGCTGGGGTGATGGAGGTAAGCTGGGGTAATGGAGGTAAGCTGGGGTAATGGACGTAAACTGGAGTGATGGAGGTAAGTTGGGGTGATGGGGGTAAGCTGGGGTGATGGAGGTAAGCTGGGGTGATGGAGGTAAGCTGGAGTAATGGAGGCAAGCTGGGGTGATGGAGGTAAGCTGGAGTAATGGAGGCAAGCTGGGGTGATGGAGGTAAGTTGGGGTGATGGGGGTAAGCTGGAGTGATGGAGGTGAACTGCAGTAATGGAGGTAAGCTAGAAGGTAGAAGGAAGGTATGTTAGTGAGCTACCCCTTCCCCTACCATCCCTTTCCTCTCCCTTTAACTGTCATCTCTCCCCTCTGATACTGGAGCAACCTGTCAGTCAGACCCCACTTTCCTCCCCTCAGCCGTCACCTTGTTCATTTTGGGCAGCAGTTCAGGCATTCCGAAAACGTTTTTTTTTTTTGTCCTGGCCAAGAATGAATAATACTTTCGTGACGAATATTCACAAATCTCGGGCAGTTATGCAATAATAGCAAACAAGCGACGACAGATGAAAAATAACCAGACGGGGAGTTGAATGATAGCCAGGAAGTCCAGGTAGATTCTCCTTGGACTTCCTACTTATTTCTGCAACATTGCAAACATCTGATGATGTAGTGATTGTTGCATCACGAAAGGCCTAGAGCTTACACACACTATATATATATATATATATATATATATATATATATATATATATATATATATATATATATATATATATATATATATATATATATATATATATATATATATATATATATATATATTATATATATATATATATGACAAGCCACGGGGGGGGGGGGGGTGGCTTGTCTTGCATAGTTAAGATCGCCCGTCTGCGATTGTTTGCATATATATATATATATATATATATATATATATATATATATATATATATATATATATATATATATATATATATATATATATATATATATCACAAAAAAACTATGGAAGCATGATATAGGTTGCCGTATGGGCGAAACTGACAAGTACCATTTACGTAGACAAGGTGTCGAGCCTTTGAGAAATACTAAAGAGTGTAAGTAGTGGCATAAACCTTGATAATGGATACCGAAAAGTGGTGTATAAAGAAACGTGAGTAAACACTAGGACATGTTTATTAGGAAATGTTTGAGTCCCGGGACCTTAAAGACAAGATCAAGGTCCCAGGAGAGCAACAATTCCTAATTTTCTAGCGTCATTTTTAAACTGTATATGCAGTGGGTCGAGAGCTCTGGCTTTCAAGAATTACTGATGGCTTTTGTGATGGTATTTATTCCCATAAGTTATCTCTGCTTCAAGCTATACCTATCTGAACGTTCAGCAACGAGGGAAGGGATACCCCAATCGACACCCCTAAATCAGAACCCCGATGTGTTCGAAGCTACCTATGAAACCCGGCAGTTAGTGGTGATCGAGCAGTGACCAGAGATGGAAGTGCCTTTGGAAGACCCCGGCGTTGGAGTAAGTGTTGTTATATCCCTTTCCCTGCTGACAACCGAGGGTCGGTCACCGGTAAGTGTGAGAAGTGTGATCGGCAGAGAGAGCTGCTACCACAGACTGGCCACGTCTGGCCGAAAACAAAAAGACGAAAGCCCTTCCCAGCGCCAGAGATACCGGGAAAAGGCAGTACAAGAGGAATAGATATTGTTGACAAAAACTAAGAACTGTTATACAGCCTCGGTTCATGTCCAAGCCCAGTCATATCTGTTGTATACTATCATCCCACGACAATCGACTAACACCCAGGTACCTACTTACTGCTAGGTGAAAAGGGGCAGCAGGTGTAAGAAAACATGCCCAACGTTTCCACCAGTGCTGGGGATCGAACCATGGTCATTCAGTATGTGAGCTGAGTGCGCTGTCACCCGAACCACGGGACTCTCATACTGTTAACTTAAATGATAACTGGTATACCTTAGCAATGATAAGTTGGGTGGCAGTCATGTGCTTATAGTTAAGGGTTAATGTGATATTTGTATATCAGCAATATATATAGACCAGTGGGCTGGAGATTCCCCATTAAGTGTAGCATGGTGTGCTTACAGTAAGATACAAAAGGGGACATCCCAGAGGACATCTGCCCATTTGTAATGCATAAGTGAAAGTGGTGGTCGCATATTATGTATTGTGAACGGGGCCTAACAAGACGTGATGGTATCGAAAATAAGTTTCTATAAGATAACTTCGCGTAGAGATGCAAGATAAGTTTGCGTAGAGAATATAAAGACACAATATCGTGACCGGAACAATTACACAAACAACCCGCGCATACGAGAAAGTAACTTATGACGACGTTTGGGTCCGACTTCGACCATTAAGTAGTTAATGGTCCAAATCGGCCAGAAACGTCTTCATAAGCATCTTTCTCCTATGTGCGGGTTATTGGTTTAACTTAGTGTACCTTTGCAGAGCCTTGAAGTAGAGTTGAATTGTGTGGTAGAACTGTGGGGTTCGTAGGAAAGAAGTCTTACCGTGGAGTGGGTTATTACTCAACAGTATTGCTAGAGTTGTTACATGACCTGTGTTTGAGGGTTGTATGCCGGGTGTAGGTCTCACCCGTCCATACGTACGTAAGAGTGAATCATGGTGCTTGGCTGAGTTAGGTCAAAAGAAGCTATGTCATCGGTGTTTTCTTATCCAGCAGTCTTTGGAAGGTAGAATGGGATGTTTAGCTTTACGCTATCACTCATTCTGGAAGCCCAACACGAGTATATTGTCGGAGGAGAAAGACCAGAAGTTCGCAGCATGGTGGTCGAAGAGCCGGAAGAAGGGTGAGGAGACCGGTATATAAAGTGATAGGATGCAGTGTAAAGCCCGCTATAAAACTGTTGTACACTAGTGAAGGTTGCAGGACTATCACCAGGTTCTTCAACCTGAGAGAGGTCTGCTTGCTCCCCAAGCAAATTCTTCTTGATTCACTTTTCTCTACCTAGCTTTCATAACCTTGCATCTGTTGGGGTTAAATCACAGGAATCACTTGTCAGGTAAATTCTTCAACTTGTCCACGCTCTATTTTAGGCTTCTCGTGTTCCCTTCCAGTTTTTTTCTTTTACTTTCTTCATTAGTTTTGCATCATCTGTGAACATAGATACATCTGATTATTCCTTTCATCATGCTGCCACGTACACCAGAAACAGTGTTAAGTTCCAGTACTGATCCTTGATTAACCTCTCTTTTCACACTTGGATATTCTGACAACTATTTTCAATCACTTTGTTTCCTTCCTGTTAGGGATTACTTGACCCATTTTAGTGCCTTTCTGTTATTGCTGTCTGCTCCTTTAGCTTTTGCTCTAGTCTTTTGTGCGATACTGCATCAAAGCCTTCGTACACTCCGAGAATGTGCACTCCACTCGTATTTCTCTCTCTCTCTCTCTCTCTCTCTCTCTCTCTCTCTCTCTCTCTCTCTCTCTCTCTCTCTCATTTCTGTTACTTAGTCATAGATCCCAGCATATTTGTGAGTTAATATCTGCTATATCTAAACCCGTGATGGTTGTGTCACGGTATATAACCTGGACAAGATGAACCGAGTAGGACTTGAGGGGGACATCACCAGAAACGAAATATACCTAGTGATGTCAGCACGCACCAAGAATACCTAATGATGGCAGCACGAACCAAGTATACCTATTGATATCAGCACGCACGAAGGAGAAACAGGGGATTGATTTAATACCTGTTAAATGTTGCATGGCGAAGATAAAGTTAATGAAAGACTTCTTGTGGGTTTTTGATGACCTCAATGAATAATTATAGTAAAGATAATGAATACGACAAATGTGCAACACCCTGGTATCTTTATTTATGCTTAGGAAATAAAGATACGAAAGTGTTGGACACAACGCAGTGAAGGCCACCAGTAAGAAGGGGTTAGTTCGGCAGCGTTGAGGATTCCAGGACAATATTATTGTTTCTCATGGATTGTATGATTTCTCAAAGAGAATCCTGGGAAATAAGTTAATGTATTTTGGTCTCTCGGGAGCACTGTGACATTCAGAGGAAGTCTTTTACAGTAGGGAACTCAGTAGTAAATTAGTACTTAATGGGTGTCTAAGGGAAGAGTGGAGGAGCAATGGTATCATTGGATTAGCAAGGTGTGTGAAGAATGAGACACTTGCTTAATATTTGGGAGTCTTTATTGAGGAAACGTTTCGCCCGCCAGTGGCTTCTTTAGTCGTTTCTTCTCTCTGCTGAAGAAGCCACTGGCTGGCGAAACGTTTTTTTCAATAAAGATTCCCAAAATATTGAACAAATGTGTCATTCTTTACACACCTTGCTAGTCCAGTGATACCATAGCTCTTATGCCTCATAAAGGTGTTGATCAACAGCTCCTGTACCTCTTCACCGAAAGCTCACTTTATTCTCCATTTTATGGATTAAAATGTTTATTTTAGCGTAGAGGAAAACTACAGTCTGAATAATCCACTTTCAGTAGAGTCTCCACAGCTAACAAGCTAAACTAATGCTAACTCCTGTGATATCTCTCCTTGTGTTCACCCATTTAGCTGTCAGATTGACTTACCACCCTGGTGGGACTTCCAGCCTGGGTCAGACACCACACTCACGATTTTGCTGCGCCTGTGCTGGGTTTTCCCTCTTTAATGCTATTAGTGTTTGAGAGAGAGGATGTCTAGCGTGGTCTCCTGAACTCGCCTATACTTCGTTCAGGATCATGGTGATGATGCTTCGATTATTTAAGCACAAATGTTGCTTCTGAGAGCATACGTAGTCTTCGAATGTGTGTGAATGTGTATTTGTTGGACAATGTGGGGCCGCGGGGGAGCTGACCCCCGGAACTCTCTGCTGGTATACTCTAGGTAACACTCGGCAACACATACACACTGCAACACGCGGGATTCAATCACCACACACAAAAACTAATAAGGAACGTTAATAATTTATTTACGTGAATAAATAAAAAAGAATGTAATCATTTGCGAGAGATTAATTAAATTCCCCCAGGAACGTAGCGTTGTCTTGTGAGGTTGTGAGAGAGTTTACAGGGGAGACTTGCCCTCGCGTTCCAAGCGCTTCCTCTCCTCCTCAGCGAAAGCGATTTGGACGAGGACGTACTCAGGGATGGGGTGGGGGAAGGTAGGAGCCACTGGCAGCAGGTCAGACTGTGGCTGGAAACCGTTCTCGTCAGCCACGAACGTCACCTTGGCTACGGTTCCATCTTCCTGAATATAGCTGTTAACACAGGTTACACATTAATTCCCACGAGAAAATTTTTTAATGATAATAACAAATATTTATTTCTAGAATTACATGTACATTTTCAGACCTACACGACATGAATGACGTACTACTGTATAGAAAGCTCCTTGTTATTCAGAGCATTTCGGGAAATTAGGTTAATTTTGTCACCCACGATACGACCCACACCAGTTGATTAACACGTAGGTACTTATTTTATTGATAGCTTAGATGGTTAGATAGGAAACATTCGCATTAATTCAATACTGATGAGTGTAGGTAAAACATAGCATTTACCTGTATTCTCCGATGCGGTTAGCACCTCCTTGACTCCCCTCTGAGCCGGATTCTTGGACGGAGATGCCGTTGGCGGACTCGAACTCGAAGTTGTGAGCTCCGAGCTCTGGGTTCACTTGTGACTGACGAACGATGGGAATCGGGGTCTGGGTGTCCGTGGGGAAACCTGCAGCCACAGCTACCAGCACGGCGAGGATGACCTGTGTATGGACCACAGGTCAGAAGGATGGATAAGAGTCAGTTTGTGTGGGTGCAATTGGATAATTAAGCTGTCAGCATAGTTGCTGATCCCTGTATTCCCAGTATTATATAGCATAGCATATTAGTATCATCCCTGTGCTTTAGACACGAGATCCCTCGTAGGCCTTTGGCTTTGTGTGACGTCATAGGGATACACATGGGCAGTGATCCCTCTGTCCCGTCCTCACTCGGCGGCAGACCTACAAGGCGTGAACAGGCTTGGCACCGGGCTCCATCTCTCATCTCAGTCTGACAATATATTTACCATCCTACAAGTGTGTCTACTTTCAACCTACGATATCTCCATTTAAGAACCCTTACGATAAATGGTGACAGCGGTGAGCCTGTAATTCTGACGATTACAGCGATTTCTGGAGATAAAGTTGTCGACCAGCAAGACGGCCATTTCGTGTCACCAGTAGGCCTACCGAGATTCACCCCATCCAGCTACCTCAAGCCAGCTACTCTACCAGCTTCTACATTATTCACTGGTCAGTCTCTTTGTATTAGTGTTTCCTGCTTTTTTTTGCATTACTCCCGAGGGGTTGACCCGAGTTTGCAAAATAAGCCAGCTTCCAGTCTGTGGTGGGGGAGTCAGAACACCCGAGTCCAGTCCAGCCTAGCCTACTCCATCCAATTATTTTGCCTGCCAAGCCAGCTTCCACCCCTGCTGTGCTCATCGTGTGAAGTTATCAAGCTATTCTGTGTGAAGGGTTAAGATAAGCCAGCTAGCAACTAACCCAGGTGTCTTACCCCAGTACTCAAGCAAGCCACATGAGTAGCCTTCATCGCTTGTGATTTCAAGTTCCAAGCATTCTGAGTGCTCCTTGTCATCCTTGTGGTGTTGTAGTATTTCGTGGGTTTCTTCTAAGCCAGCCGGCTTAGAATTATCTTCGCGGCAGTGTGGGTTTTCTCAGTGAGGCTTACGACGTTCAACCCATAAGCCCAGCCACTCACGATCACGTGTGTCGCACCATTGCCGGTCTCAGACGCCTCGCTCAGCCATTACCCACAAACCCAACTACAGTCGGCCATTACAACTCACCTACCTCATCAGTGTTTTGGTGCACTGCTAAGGGTTGTAGCACCATATTTTAAGGACCACATAGGGGGTCAAGAGCTAGAGAGTGGCGCGCCATCTTTAAAAGCCTCCTGTGTGTTGTCTCTCGCCGATTTAAGCGCAATTCTACGATCATCTGTGCAGAGGACAGCAGCAAGACGATATAAACAATCCATCAGTCTCATTTTTTTCAAGTGTTACAGCTATAATATTTTTTTTTGAGACATTTGCGAGTGTCGAGACATTTCTTTTGTGTTCCCAGTGAATTTTTCTCTTAGTGACATTCAGTGACTCTTGATCAGACTCAGTGTTTATCATGTACTGATTGCATTCATGTCTTTTAATCTCCTTAATTCAGTGTTAATTTTCGTGCATTATTTTATATCTGTTGTGTTGTGTATCTTTTTATACACACTTGAAATAAGTACTGAGTGTTTTTCCTTTGTTGTGTGTGCAACATATGAGCAATATAGAACTTGTGTTTAACACTTCAGAATTACCTTTGTGTTCTCAGTATTCCAGTGTATTAACTCAGTAAATTTTTCACCTCATATTCTGCATCACAACTCAGTGTTGTCTGTTATATTTTTCTTCCTAGCATTTGTGTATTTTTGTTTTGTTCCCTGTGTGTTGAACATTCTTGTGTTCATATTCTTTCCATTTAGCCAGTGTCTAATTTGTCTTATTTCCACAGACAATAGTGCCATTTTTTAAAAGACCAAGCAAGAAATAAAATTTTTACTGAATTTTTAACACATCAAGTTTCATTGCAAGAAAATTCTAGTACTGTGTTTATGTTGATGTTTTGTGTTCTGCATCACTGTAAGTGTTGTGTTCCTTTTTGTTGTGTGTTTTAGCACCTATTATTTTTTTTTCACATTTTATTGAACAAATTCACTCTTAGTGCAATTTTTAAGTTCTCCTTTTAAAGTAAATTGTTCTTTTGCTTGTTGTTTAAGTGCAGTTAAGAGTTAAAGTGTTCATTCCTTGATATATTTCTTTTCTTGTGTGTTATAATTTTTATTATTGCACATTGACTCATTTTGCAATAATTCTTGTGCAAATATTGTGTTGCTATTAAAGTTTTTTCTTGCAGAAAATTTTATGCAGTGTTGTGCAATACAGTTTATTACAGTGCAGTTTCTTATGCTCTGTTCTGTCCATATTTATTTTATTCTGTCTGTCATTTTATTTTTTTTTTAATTTCAGTGAATTGTGTGTTTGTTTTAATTTTTGCACAAGTTTATTGAGTCCATTTTATTATTTTATTGTGTATTTTCCTTGTTGCATTGAAAGTAAAGACAACTCACTGTGCCATTTATTCAATTTAAAGTAAAAGTTGAGCATATTAGATTTGAGCAAAGTACAAGTTCTCTTGATTTTCAGTGTTTGTTAAGTTGCATATTTTTTTTTTCTTGTGTGAGTTCTTTGCTTACTGTGTAACTTGTCAATTTTTAATTACTTATGCAGAATAGTTAAGCATTTTTTTCCATTTAAGCTTATTGTGTCATTCTCTCCATTTTTCTTGACTTATGCCCTTCAGTATTTTCACTGAGAAGATGTCCCAGTTTACTTTTGAACGTTCACTTAGTGTATCATTCCAGTCAAAGTCAAAATGAATCAGTCCAAAGTACCAACATTCCCTTACTGACTGAAAGACAATACCCAGCCCTTGACAATGTGTTTGTTTCTCACAGCTTGTATCTGAGATTTGTTAAAGTGCTGCGAAATGTGAAGTTCAGATTAAGTTCCTATAGATCCGTGAATTACTTATTAACGTAGCCGAGCGGTTCAGGCACTAGTAATTCTGTCACTCCCATCTGTGTTCCACCTATACCTTCAGACTTGCAGGATAGTGTTCCGTTTTCCTCAAGTGTCCGGGGACACTCAGACTGCCTTGAGTGCACAGCCTATCCCCGCAAAGACTGCTAGTTCGAGTAGTAGTTTCTCCACAGGGATGCCTTGTCAGAAAACGATTACTTGCAACTAGTAATGCCATCTCTTGTTGATGTGACATGCTGTCTGCAGAAAGACGTCTCTGTTACAGCAAGTGTTCTCACTAGAGTGTCTGTTGTAGTTCCTTGTGTTTCAGATGGTGATCCATCCTAGTTGACAGTAATCAGTGCATTGTAAGAAGTTATTTCTCGAGTAACTTTCACATGTTAACGTTTGTAAGTGTAGTTTCTTTATAGCTGATACCTCGTGTCACTGTGTGCGACTCAGATTGAAATATCAGCATTGTTCACCGTGTTCATTTCTTTTCTCCTGTGCTTGCAGTTGAGATAGTAGATTCATTCTCCCTTGCTCATATTGCGTGTTATAGCGTTAATTTTTTTCAACCGGGGGGAGTCATCCACTCCACCGAGTTTGTTCTTTCCTCCAGTAAGGAAGAACTGTTACCTTTATTCCAGAACAAACAGCCTACTGGAAGGTTAGCCAGATGGACCTTGACTATCCAAGAGTTCAATCCCACTTTTGAAAATTTACCTGGCAAGTCGAATGTAGTCGCAGATGCTTTATCGCGACACGTTAGTGTAGTTACTGCAGATCCTCCATTTACTGTCGAGGATGTCAAAAATGCCCAAAGAACCGATCCCTTGCGTTCTGGTGTCATTCGATTCCTGCTCCAGGAAGATCTTATTCTTACTGTGAAGCCACCAGCATCCATTAGTGACTTTGTAATGAGCCAAGAATTACTGTATCGAATAGTCGAGTTGAGTACTCCTAGCAGATGAATTAGTAATTCCACAGTCACTAGTGATTGTAGTTGTATCTTTTGTAAATACTCGTTCAGCTCTCTCTCTCAGTCCCAAGGGATGTGTTAGCCATTGCAGAGGAATTCGATCCTCCCAGAGATGATAACCATTCTGCATATGTAAACCTTACCCTCGCAGAATTGGGTTTAAAAGTACATATGTCTGTATAATTAAGATGTCCGAGATGAATGAAATTTGTCAATTGTGTGTTTTATTATTAGCTGATCAGTTTGTCAGAAATTTTCGTGTTCACGTTCCCTCCGTATTCTGAGAATTAACAGTCTAGATTTGAGTGCACCGAATCTGCCTTTCTGTTAAACACTTCTTTGTATATAATTATCTTCCTCAGAATCCGTTTGAGTGCATGAATACAGATCGATCGATCAATTCCATCCATATTGTATAATGATTTGTTCTTATAGTTTGTAATGATTACGTTAACACCCATTACGTCAAAATCATGTTGTACCATCCATTAGTTCTAAGTTATATATGAATTTGTTATTGTATAGAATCAGCCCAGATCCGCCTGCCTGTTCAGCCTATAGTATAGTAGTGTATGTCGGGACGACATACGTAACATGACCGAGCTGTCAGCATAGTTGCTGATCCCTGTATTCCCAGTATTATATAGCATAGCATATTAGTATCATCCCTGTGCTTTAGACACGAGATCCCTCGTAGGCCTTTGGCTTTGTGTGACGTCATAGGGATACACATGGGCAGTGATCCCTCCCTGTGCTTTAGACACGAGATCCCTCGTAGGCCTTTGGCTTTGTGTGACGTCATAGGGATACACATGGGCAGTGATCCCTCTGTCCCGTCCTCACTCGGCGGCAGACTACATGGCGTGACAGGCTTGGCACCGGGCGTCCATTCTCATCATCTACAGTCTTGACATATATTTCCCATTCCTCAGTGTGTCTACTTTCAACCTAGTATCTCCATTTAAGAACCCTTACGGCTAAAGCGATCTCTCTCTATCTCCTCTCTCTCTCCTCTCTCTCGCCTCTCTCTCTCTCTCTCGCTCCTCTCTCTCGCCTCTCTCTCTCTCTCTCTCTCTCTCTCTCTCCCGCCCACCCCTTCAAGGGTGGAACTGGATGCTTGTGGCAAGCCTCTTGAACTTGCTGCATCTGGGGGAGCAGCCGCTCCGTTCTCAGATCAAACATGACTCATCTCCCAGTCACCAAAACCCTGTTGGCCCTAAAGATGTAGCGCTTCCCCCTTGCTATATATTAATAATCACCACGTTTACACAAACAATAGACCAGGGGCGGGGGGAGCTTTTACTTCCACCTTTCGGTCAAGAAAACGTTAAATGTAGTAGTTTAAAGACAATTTAATACAGCAAGAACCAGTCCTCGAGTAAGCTGAATCAGTTAGAAATCCCTCACCTGGCTACTCACACACACACTAACACCCCACACAAACACACACACACACACTTGGGTGGTGTGTGCAAGACAAGCCTGGGAGATGGAAATCTTCAGCTCGGTACTTTCACGTGTATCGTTTACGTCATCAGAGCCTATGCAATGTCACAAGAGTAATATTACTATATATCATAATATATATATATATATATATAATATATATATTTATACCTATATCTATATTACGAGACGAGAGAGACGAGAGAGAGAGCGAGAGTTAACTCACCAGTCTTCATGGTGGAGGGTGGTGTTTTTTGGACTAAGTAAAAATTGCTGTGACTGTTGGTTCCCTTCCTTTCGTTGTCCCCTTATATTACCACCATCCGCCGCCACCACCACCACCACCACCACACCACCACCACCTCACCACCAGGACACACCGAGGCCCCTGGGGGATAACGGGGGCTTGGTGTCATGCCGTTGACCATGATGACCCAGAGTCATCACCTGGTGACCCACTCCATGAACTAGATGCCGCAATAACACTTAATACTTTTCCTCTCCCCCCTTCTTCTGCGGAGGCTCTTGATCATAGGAATGGAACCCCCCCCCTTTCCCTTTCCCAGGTTCAGAGATTCCATACCAAGGCGCCATGTAACCCTCCCCCTCCCGACGGGTTTATCGCTTCCCCATGAATGTGTAGTTCCTCAGTCTGCGCACTCTCCACGACCCTTCCAGCGGCGAGAGGCGAAACTTTTCTGAAAACAAACGGAAGGAAACTGGGAGACACAGCCGCTCGTAAGTGATCTATGTGCCAGAATGTTTAGTTCAAAAGCGGCGTTTCGCTCAGAAAGTGAAGGACACGATATGAAAAGTAAATATCCCTTCCCAAAGCGGGTTTCCTCCCTTACTCCCTGGGGTGGTGAGGGAGGGTGAGGGGAGGGTGAGGGAGAGGAGACACTGAGGGAGGGGAGCGGGAGAGTGAGGGAGGGTGAGGGAGAGTGAGGGAAGAGTGAGGGAGAGTGAGGGAGGGAGCGGAGGTGAGGGAGGGTGAGAGGAAGTGGGGGAGTGAGGGAGGGTGAGGGAGAGTGGGGAGAGTGAGGGAGGGTGAGGGGAGAGTGAGGGAGGGTGAGGAAGAGCTGAGGGAAGAGTGACGGGAGAGTGAGGGAGGGTGCGGGAGAAGACACTGAGGAGAGTGAGGAGGTGAGGGTAGGGTGAGGGAGGGTGGAGGGTGAGGGTGAGAGATGGTGAGGGAGAGTGAGGGAGGGTGGGGAGATTGAGAGTGAGGGAGGTGAGGGAGAGTACACTGAGGGAGAGTGATGGAGGGTGAGGGAGGGTTGAGGGAGGGTGAGGGAGAGTGAGGGAGAGACAGAGGAGAAGTGAGGAGGGTGATTGGGAGGGTGCGGGAGGACACTGAGGGAGGGTGAGGGAGGGTGAGGGAGGGTGAGGGAGGGTGAGGGAGGTGGAGGCGAGAGACACCTGAGGAGAGAGTGAGGGAGGGTGAGGAGAGACACTGAGGGAGAGTGAGGGAGGGTGAGGGAGGCCGTGAGGAAGAGTGAGGGGAGACATGAGGGAGAGTGATGGAGACGTGAGAGGAGGGTGAGGGAGCGGTGAGGGAGAAGTGTGGGAGAGACCTGAGGGGAGAGAGGAGGGAGGAGTGAGGGAGGGGTGTGGGAGGGTGCCCGAGGGAGGGTGAGGGAGAGTGAGGGAGAGACACTGAGTGAGATCGTGAGGGAGGTTGGAGGGGCCACAGTGAGGGAGGGTGAGGAGGGGTGAGGGAGGGTGAGGAGGTGAGGGAGAGTGAGGTGAGCGGTGAGGGAGGGTGAGGTCGAGAGTGAGGGAGACACTGAGGGCCGCGGTGAGTGGAGAGGACACTGTGGAGAGTGAGGGAGACCTGAGGAGGTCGTGAGGGGAGACCACTGAGGGGAAGTGAGGGAGAGACACTGAGGGAGAGTGAGGGAAGAGGACTACTGAGGGAGAGTGGGGAGAGACACTGAGGGGAGGTTGAGGGACGAGACACGGAGGAGAAGTGAGGAGGACACTGAGGTGAGAGTGAGGGAGACACTGAGGGATGGGAGGGAGGACTGAGGCGAGAGTGAGGGAGAGGCATGAGGGAGGGAGAGGAGAGACACTGAGGGAGAGTGAGGGAGAGACACTGAGGGAGAGTGAGGGAGACACTGAGGGAGAGTGAGGGAGAGACACTGAGGGAGAGTGAGGGAGAGACACTGAGGGAGAGTGAGGGAGAGAGAGACATGAGGGAGAGAGAGGGACACACTGAGGGCGAGAGGAGGGAGAGACATGAGGTGAGGGTTGAGGGAGAGACACTGAAGCGAGATGAGAGGGAGACATGAGGGAGACGTGAGGGAGTCACTGAGGAGAGAGTGAGGGGACACTGCTGGGAGAGTGAGGGGGAGACACTGAGGAGAGGCTGAGGGAGAGACACTGAGGGAGATGTGGGACGGGAGGACACTGAGGGAGAGTGAGGGAGGACACTGAGGGAGAGTGAGGGAGAGACACTGAGGGAGAGTGAGGGAGAGACACTGAGGGAGAGTGAGGGAGAGACACTGAGGGAGAGAGAGGGACACACTGAGGGAGAGTGAGGGAGAGACACTGAGGGAGGGTGAGGGAGGGGGTGAGGGAGAGTGAGGGAGAGACACTGAGGGAGGAGTGAGGGAGAGACACTGAGGGAGAGTGAGGGAGAGGGGACACTGGATGGGAGACGTGATGGAGAGACCACTGAGGGCGAGTGAGGAGAGGACACTGAGGAGAGCTGAGGGGAGACACTCGAGGGAGTGTGAGGAGTAGTGAGGGATAGTGAGGGAGGGTGAGGGAGAGTGAGGCGAGAGACACTGAGGGAGAGTGAGGGAAGAGACACTGAGGGAGAGTGAGGGAGAGACATGGGGAGGAGTGCAGGGTGAGAGACTGAGGGCGGGTGAGGGAGTGAGACTGAGGTGAGAGTGGGGGGAGAGAGACTGAGGGAGAGTGAGGGAGGGTGAGGGAGATTGAGGGGATATACTGAAGGAGAGTGAGGGAGAGTGAGGGGAGGGTGAGGGAGAGGACCTGGGAGAGTGAGGGAGAGTGAGGGAGAGCTGAGGGAAGTGAGGAGAGACCTGAGGGAGAGTGAGGGAGAGACACTGAGGCGAGGGTGAGGGAGTCGTGAGGGAGAGGGAGGGAGGGTGAGGGGAGAGAGACACTGAGGGAGGGTGAGGGAGAGACACTGAGGGATGGGTGAGGGAGAGAGAGACACTGAGGGAGAGGTGAGGGAGAGACACTGAGGGAGGGTCGAGGGAGAGACCGCTGAGGGAGGGAGAGTGAGGGAGCGTGGAGGCGAGAAGAGACACTGAGGGAGAGTGAGGGAGAGACACTGAGGGAGAGTGAGGAAGGTCACTGAGGGAGACTGAGGGAAAGATGTGGGAGGGGGTGTGAGGGAGCGTGAGGGAGAGACATGAGGAGGAGTGAGAGAAGAGACCACGGAGGGAGAGTGAGGGAGAGTGAGGGAGGGTGAGGGAGAGTGAGGGGCGACACTGAGGAGAGGGTGAGGCGAGACGAGAGTGCAGGGAGAGTGAGGGGACGGGTGAGGGAGGGACATGAGGGCAGGGTGAGGGAGAGACACTGAGGGTGGTGAGTGAGAGACACTGAGGGAGGGTGAGGGAGAGACGCTGATGGAGAGTGAGGGAGAGGACACTGAGGGAGAGTGAGGCGAGAGACACTGAGGGAGGGTGAAGGTGAGAGGAGAGACAACTGAGGGAGAGTTGAAGGGAGAGTGCGGGAGAGACACTGAGGGAGGGTGAGGGAGAGAGACACTGAGGGGTGGGTGAGGGAGGAGACACTGAGGGAGGGTGATGGGAGAGACACTGAGGGAGGGTGAGGGAGAGACCTGAGGGAGAGTGAGGTGAGAGACACTGAGGGCGGTGTGAGGGAGAGACAGTTGCGGGAGGGTGAGGAGAGTAACTGAGGTGACGTGAGGAGGAGACAAGAGGGAGCGGTGTGGAGGGAGAGCACTGAGGGCCCCAGGGGGAGGGAAGAGACATGAGGGAAGGGTGAGGGGAGAGGAACTGAGGGGAGGGTTGTGGGCGAGAGGAGCCGCAGAGGGAGAGTGAGGGAAGAGACACTGAGGGGAGAGTGAGAGGAGTGAGGGAGAGGAGGAGGGAGAGTGAGGGAGAGGACGCTGGGGCGAGTGAGAGAGACACTGTGGGAGAGTGAGGGTGAGAGACACTGAGGGGTGACGTGAGGAAGAAACACTGAGAGAGAGACACTTGAAGGGAGAGACATGAGGAGGGTTGGAGGGAGAGACTCTGAGGTGAGAGTGAGGAGAGACCTTGATGCGAGAGTGAGGGAGACACTGAGGAGAGAAGGGTGAGGGAGAGACACTGGGGAGACGTGAGGGAGAGACACTGAGGGAGAGTGAGGGAAGAGACACTGAGGGAGGAGAGTGAGGGAGAGACACTGTGGGGAGAGAGAGGTAGAGACACTGAGGGAGAGTGAGGGAGTGGACGCTGTGGGGAGGGTGAGGAGAGAAGCTGAAGGAGAGTGAGGAGGAGTGAGGGAGAGACACTGAGGGGCATCGTGAGGGAAGAGACACTGAGGGAGCGTGACGGGTGAGACACTGGAGGGGGAGGGTGAAGGAGAGACACTGTGGGAGGCGAGGGAGAGACATCTGATGGAGACATGAGGGAGAGGACTCTGATCGGCCGGTAGGAGAGTGAAGGAGAGTGAGGGAGGGAGAGTGAGGCGAGAGACACTGCGGGAGATGTGACGGGAGGGTGCGGGGAGAGGACTGAGGGAGATGGCGAGGGAGAGACATGGGGGAGAGTGAGGGAGAGACACTGAGGGAGGGTGAGGGAGAGACACTGAGGGAGAGTGAGGGAGAGACACTGAGGGAGGGTGAGGGAGAGACACTGAGGGAGGGTGAGGGAGAGACACTGGGGAGAGTGAGGAGAGACACCTGAGGCGAGGTCGAGGAGGGACACTGAGGGAGGTGAGGGAGAGACACTGAGGGGAGGGTGAGGGAGGAGACACTGAGGGAGGTGAGGGAGAGACAATGAGGACGGGGGTGAGGGAGAGACACTGAGGGAGGGAGAGGGAGTGACACTGGGGGACGGGTGCGGGGAGAGACACTGGGGGGGGTGAGGGAGAGACATGAGGGAGGGTGAGGGAGAGACACTGAGGGGTGAGTGTGAGAGAACTGAGGAGAGTGAGGGAGAGACACTGCGGAGAGTGTGAGGGAGAGACACTGAGGGAGAGTGAGGGCAGGGGACACTGAGGGAGAGTGAGGGAGGGACACTGAGGGTGGCGTGA